TTTTGGTAATTTTTTTGCTTAAATGTATTATTCTTGGACAAATTTTATAAGTAGACAACAACAAAACTTGAACTCGAACATTTTGCCTAGCTTTGGAATTATGTTATTAATCACGTCTAAAAGTTTAAGTCGCTAAAGATGTACAACATGTGTCGTCACTTGTATAATAGCACAAAATGTAGTTTATCAACTGTCATTCATAGCTAATTGTAGTATTGTAAAGTATGAATGAAAACAGTTTTGCCACGTGATTCAAATTTAAATGACAGGAATATACACGTACACTTGTCATTTTCTCTTTGGCAGTTAAAAAGATTAAAGAAAAAATCACCAATAAAAAGCTGCCACTTCATTCCCCAGAAAAAGCCCGTGTCAGTAACCATATTTGTTCGAATGAAAAAAGGTCGTAAAATTCTGAGAAGCCTGGATTGCAAAGGACAATTGGATAAGGATAATATCTCAACCTTAAAAGCCGTATAAGACGGCTCCAACACCCATCAGCTTAGCCGGCTCCTGTCCGGTAACTAGTCAAACACTAACGCAAAATTACTACTACTTTACTGAATTATTAATCTATTATTATTATTATTCAACCCATGTTTACTGGCCATTTTTTCTAAAAGAAATTATTATGAATAGTGATTTTTTGAAAAAAAAAATTGTGATTAAAAAATTAAAAAAAGTTTTGAATTTACGTATATAATTTTTTATGTGGTTAAAAATGAGTATGTGAATTTCGTATTATAAAATTTGACTTATTTAATTAATTATTATTTTATGTTTTTGTTTGGGTTGAATGGATTTTAAATAGAATTATTAAGCAAGATGATTAATTTATTACAGACGTGATCAAAAAGTTTTAGGGCGTGTTTAGTAGGGATTAAAATCGGATTAAAGTTGAAAAATTAGCCCGTTATTGTTGACTTTTATTAGACGAGTGAGATCCAATAACGATTATATTTTTAATTTTAATTTGATTTTAAGCTTTGCCAAACATGCTCTTAGATTTTATTATTTAATCGGAATTATTAATTATGGAATTATCGAACATTAGGCAATGACCGTACGGTGGGCCTCTCTCCCTGCATTTTTGCAGTAGTAGGTCGTTTCTTCCACCCCCACAAGCCACCCCACTCCAACCCCTACTTTGGCAGTTGGAATGCATTTACTGCATGCACTTTCTCTCTCATCACTCTCTTTCTCTACAGTTGTATCCAATAATAATTAGTGTTCTTGAAATTTCGTGCTGTTTTCTCACAGATCCATGCCATTTCACTTTATTTCAAACCCAAGAATTTTCACCCGGTGAAACCCAGTTTTTGCCCTTTTTTCCATTTTCTTCTCGTTCTGAGTGCTGCTGGTCCCAATCGTTAGTACTTCTTTAACAGGTATACCAATGGCTAAAGGTTTTTCACTTTGGCCCATTTGGTTTTTAATCAGAATAATGATTGTTGCTCTTTCGAATTCTCGATTTATACGCTTTACTCGCGTGTAATTTGAATTGCTGGAAGTTTTCAGGTGCAATTTTTTCAAGTTACTTTGTATAAAATTAAGAGGTTTTCTTAAAATTTGAATTAACTTGTTTTTTGGTATCATTTTCAATTTCTATTGATTTTATTGAGTACATGTGCATGTGTATTGCTTGCATTATCGGCTTCAATCATTTGGGGGAAATCGGCTTTTTAATTAATTCGAAGTATTTTTTTACTTTTTTGAAGAAGCAATGCATAAACCAATAGAGGCAAACTGGAGAATGTTCCAGTTCACAGAGACTGACAAAATTAAATGTGTGTGTAAAACCCCCAGTATTGAATTTATTATTATTATTTTTTTCTTTTGGAAATTGTTGTGTATATTTATGTATGTATATGTTCATTTATTGTTATCTAACTGAATCCGTGAATAATAAGTGATTCAATGCATTGGTGGCTCATCGCATTTATATTATTATTACCATAAGATATTCATGCCGGCCCTTTGTCTCTCTCTGTATCTCTTGCTCATCCAAAATTCCAATCAGAATTTTATAGTATCGCTTAATATGAAGGCTATTGCATTTCTTTTTTATTCACCCTCCATTTGACTTTTCAGGGTTTCATTTGGAAATTGGATTTTCTGCTTATGGAGATGAGTTTAATCAAGATATTGCCTTTAGGTTGAAATATCTGGGTTTTAATTTATTATAGGACTAATTGTAGGTTTTGCGTCAGTTTGGTTTTAGTTACTTGGTATGGGAATTGGGTTTTTCTTACTTTAGTTTCTTGATTGAGATTTTGGCACTAGGCTTGAATGATATGTAGAGTAGTTGTAATTGCAAAGCAAAAGCATAGATGTTGTGGTTGATTTCCTCTAGTGCCAATTAAGCTTACTTGAGAGTGAAAAAATGCTGGAGGCTGAGGTATGCTCGTCCCGGATTTTATCGCCTTTCCGTGATGAAAGCGGCGATGAAGGGCTCTCCGTTCTTCCGAGGCATACTAAGGTTATTGTAACAGGGAACAACAGAACAAAGAGTGTTTTGGTGGGTCTACAAGGTGTTGTCAAGAAAGCTGTAGGACTTGGTGGTTGGCATTGGCTGGTATTAACCTTTTGACCATCTTACAAATGATGTGATCCTCTTTTATCTTTTTCATTTTCTTTATTTCAATCATGATTGTAAATGGTTACTGTTCATCAATTTTATGTTTTCTTGGTTGAGTTGTTTGTTTGGTCCTTTGCTAATCTTTTGTAACGTGATGCTTTATTTTCAAATACATGGAAGGATTAAAATTAGCATGCAATATGAAATAATAATGAATTCATTTATATGTAAAATTCGATGTGAGGAACCTGCCCATCAGATCAAAACCACCTGTTCTATGTATTCATGGAGTAGTTTCTTAAATCTAATAGATATAGTTTCTAATTTTCATGGTTCTGCATAGCTGTAGTTCTACAAGGTGAAATAATCAAAAAAAATATTTTCCTTGATGAACTTGTAGAAAGTATTGTCTCAAATAATGCTGAAGCTCTGTAACTCGTGATTAGAAAGGGAAAAAAAGGTACAGAAAGAGAAGGAAAAGTTGACTAAATGAAAAAATTTCCTCACTTTGCTTGAAAGAATAAAGTGCAATATGCCAGTGTGTTCTGTTTCTACATGCAGTTTTGCTTGTTTGATAAGCCTTGCGCATCTATATTGGATCACTGGGAAAAAAGCAAAAAAATAAATTCATTCAAGAGATTCTCAAGGTTTTTCTATTTCTGGATGTTTCCCTATTATATTCTGGTGAAAAATAATTTTGCAAAGAAGGTGCACTTTAGTTCCAATAAGTGTAAACGTGCTTGTGCATATGTGTGTTAGGGAATGAAGAGTAGTGCTTTCCCCAACCTAGTTTGTCGTTTTTCACTTTCAAAATTGTGTTCTTGGATGGTTTATTAAGTCCCTCTCACTCTATATATATATATATAATATTTTTTTTTTTAAATTAGGTTTTGAAGAATGGGGTGGAGGTCAAGCTCCAAAGGAATGCGTTGAGTGTGTTAGAACATCCCACGGGAAATGAAGAAGACGATGATTATGATTTTGAAGATTCTAGCAGTGGATCTGACATTTGTCCAAAAGACAATCATCGATTTTGTAAGTTGAAGCACTTGTAACTGGGGAAGTCACTAAAATTCCGTTCTGGCGTTTATGTTGGATTGTTGGTGAACAATGCTTTTAAATTCTGCTTATTTTAAGACTATTGTTGTCTCTTGAACAGCTACAGGTTTTCAGTTTGGCAAACTAAGCAAGCCTAGGATTAGGTACAGTAGGCCATGGTCCCCAACTGCATCCGCAAAGTCAATAAATCGCATCAGTTGCCGAGAAGTTCAATCAAAATGTCAATCTCCTCCTCCGGTAAGCCCAATTGAAAAAGATGATAGGTTCGAGTATGTGGGTGAAGAATTTTTAGGAAGTTGGGTTGATGTAAATTACTCTTAAATGAATAGGAGCCACTCATTAATCTGATCCACACAAACACAAACTTGGAAACAGTCCAGTTTTAGGAGAAATGCAAAGATAGAGTAGAGAATGGTCGCTGGGTGGTGGGTGGCGGAAGCTGGGGGTGGATGGTGGAGGGCAGGTTGAAGAATTTTTTTTTTCTTTTTTCTTTTTATATTTTTATATTTTCCTTTTGTTAAGTTGAACGAAAGAACGGAGGCTTAATGGCATTTTTTAGCTTATGCAGGGATTTTAACCTTCTGCAAAATGCTAGCTGTGACTTTGTTATAATCATCGTTAATCTTATGCTGGTCTCTTGATAATATGCTGTTTGTTACGGATTTCAACACAATAATACCTTGCTGTTTTCGAACAACTACGCACACTTACTAGTTTGTTTATTGTTTATTGTGACTATCAGAGAGTGAACTTGACAAAGTTGGGAACCGGATCGTTGTGGAGATACTGGCGAAACTTCAACCTAGTGGGTTTTATTAGCTTTCATTCGCTTTCCGTTTTTCTTTATGACATATCACATATTTTGCTGAATGCGCTTCTCTTTCAATATCTACACTCAGGCCAGTAATATTCACAACCCTACAAAGGAACAACTGGTCAATGCTGTGGAGCAGCATTTTTCTTCACAGGTACAAATAAAGTGTCTGAAATGTGACAAAATTTAAGTTCAACGACCAACTTGAAACGTAATGAAGAGACTAAAATCAGTTGAAAGCAAAAAGTAATCTCGTGGTGTTTATTGATGCAACAGGAAGTGGACGACTTACAAGTGATTGTTGGGTTTATCCGTGCAGCCGCGAAGAGACTAAATCAGTCGGCTCGCATTGAGATTCGGGATTGATTATGGAATCCACGTCTGTCTGTAATGTATACAGTATATATACGTATAAGCTTCATCTTAGTTCAGTTCTAATTTATAGACAGCTAATTAAGATCCAAGGCTTGTCTGGTGAGTATTTTCCAAGTCTGAGGATCCTAAGTTCCTAACCTTGTAATGTGGAGATACTTGTCCAGTTCATGTTATGTCCTTAATTTCTTATTTGCATGTCTATAGTTCTTAGCATTTTAACAGTCAACGGTGAACTAGGGCAACTGATTTGAGTTCGTATGAAATGTTTTTTGATTATCATATGTGTATTCACAAAAATTAGCGAGGGTATACTTGACACTTGGAAAGCCCGATCCAAGTTTACTCGAATCAATGTTAAGATGGAAAAACGAAAGGGATACAAATGCATTCAAGAACATGTTAGAAATAACACAAACATTTTTTCTAATACTCATTTTCACAATAAAATATTCTTCACGTAAATTTAAAACTTCTAATATCTTTTTTACCACACATTTTTTCAAAAATTACTATTTAAAAATTCATTTTTTCCAACCGGACCTCAAGAGAATCTCATTTGATTAAAGTTAGTGAGATTATGGACTAAATTGCTCATTTATAGAAGTCGTGGATCAACTTATTATTGGAGCAATAGCTTGCGACCAATAGAAGAACACGATGTAGAGTGAGTACTCTACCTTGTTTATATTAGTTTCCATCTCCGTCCGAAGTTCTATGTAGTCGGTTTCTTATTCAATTTCAAATTCATCTATCCGATGTCCAATTCCAATCATTCGAGATACTTGTTCGTAGTGATAACATATTAAAGTATCACGATGTCTTTCTCAATGGTAATGATGTGTTATACTCTCCATTAGGCCCAAATTAAGTGCATGAAAAGGCCTTTTGGTGAATGTGATTCTTACGTACATGTAGAAGCCAGGCTGTCATTAGGTGTTGTGGGGTTGTCTTATTACAAGAATGGTGGATGTTGATATTGTGTGCAATGGGAGTGGAGTGATAGGGACAAGAGAGAAATTATGTAGTCCAATTCTTTGTGATAATTGAACGTCACTTTCTCTTTACATTAAAATAAGAACAACAATCCCATAATTGGACCTACAAAGATTTTGTGGCGAAAGGATAGGGGGATTGCTTTAGATTTGTTCACCTTGAATATCATCTTTGGATACCCACCCCCACCCCACCCTACCCCATACTTCCTACCCCTACCCCTCTTGTTTTATAAAGATATTCTTTTGGTAATAATGAAAGGTTGAAATTCTAATGCATTATAATTCTAAATATTATATTTTGGAATTATATAATGGCAACTTGTTTAGTATTTTAAGTTAAAATGGCTTCCTAATAATAGTTTAAAAATTATTAAAGCTGATTTTTTTTTAACTCTCCAAAATCAACAAAAAAACAAATCATGCATTACTCTTGTTAAATTTTGGATCGACTATAACTTTTTTCTCTATTCTTGATTCATTGCTACTTGGAAGATTTAATACGACAAAATATTCGCAATTCGCAACTACGAAAAAGAACATGTTAAATAAAAATATTATGTGAGAAAATATCTTGTTGACATGACAATTAGGATGTTTTGTGACATTTAATATTTTTCAATTGCACCTCTGGACAACAAAAATATTAAAACAATAACATATCAAGGGCATGTTCGGTAGAGATTAAAATCGAATTAAAATTGAAAAATTAGTCGTTATTGTTGACTTTTATTAGATGAATGAGACCCAATAATAACCATATTTTCAATTTTAATTGAATTTTAATAGGAAACAAACAGGCTCCAAGCATTATTTTATTAAATTTGAAGTCGTCTATATTAATATTTTTCTCTTTCATGAGTTTCTCGCTACCTTTACTAGAATATTTAGTACAACAAATTATTCAGTTTGCGACTATTATCATCACGTTAAGGCCTTGTTTGATTGACTGAAAAGTTCCATGGAAAATGGAATAGAAATTCCATCTTCCACTTTAAGCATGTTCGATACAGTAAATTTTCTTGGCAATTCATTTTCTTGGTTTAGGCTTACACAGTTCCAATTCCTTGTTTTTTTATGAAAACCAAATCAATTCCTAGGTTACATTTTTTTTTTTTTTTGGCAATGAAAATAAATTATATCTTCAATTGTAACAAATTTTATCCCTTTAATGGATAATTTTCATGTAAAACAAGGCCAAAATTTTAATATTTTTCACGTGTAAAATTATACTAATCAAACACAATTAATTGACAATTTTCAGGAAAACAATTTTAGGCAATTCAATTCTCTGGAATTCATTTTCTTTCCACCCAAATTTCACTCTTGCAATCAAACAGACCCTAAGTTTAGTCTACCAAGTCTTTTAAAATCAATAAATAAATAAATAGTTTACGTAACGAAAATCATGCTAACACAATGACGATGTATATTTTCTTCCACATTCTACAATTGCCTCATCAACGAATGAAAATGTTAAAAGTAAAATAATGATTGACGAACTACAAGAATAATATTTTTCTATATTTTTACTTCTTATGAAAGCTACTTTAAAGATGTAGCTCGAATCCTTTGTGATTAATCGTCTGTCAAAACAAAGTTACCCTTGGCTCGGGTAGTCTCTTGGTACGAAGAAGAGTCTGGTCTAATATGATTTAGGGCATGTTCAGTGGAGATTAAAATCAGATTAAAATTGAAAAATTAACCGTTATTGTTGACCGTATTAGACTAGTGAGATCCAATAACGGTTATATTTTTAATTTTAATTGGATTTTAAGCACGATCGAACACCTCCTTAATTTGATTTTAGGCATGGCCCATCTGGTTATCTCTATACTGTTAGTCCAAAATTTTCTTTATCGTGGTTTTTTATTTCAAACCGAAAGAAACGATTTAATTATTGTTTTACCTTTTATGAATAGCCAATGGGATAACAATACTTTTCAAATGTTGAAGTAAGTGACAAATTTTCTAGCACTAATGACTACTCTACAAAATTGCTAAAGACATTAGATTCGGAATTATTAACATAAATAACATAAATAGTACTAATCACTATGTATCATGAAAATTTGGTCCAAACATAATAGCAATGATCAATTGCTAATTATCATTAAAATATAATTATGTCACCATAAAAGGTATAGTCATCCGTGGAGGTCAAAATAAGAAAAACTTTCGAAGAAACAAACAAAACATATAATCCAAGGCGACTTAAAACTCTTCATCAACTTTATCATTTTTCTTTAGGTGTTGATCACTCGATCGTGATTGGTCAATTTGGATGTACTCCACATTTTATTCTCTTTTTCACATCGATCAATCAGGCACTTGCAAGTATAAACATCAACAGTTATGAATGAATTTGATTATTTTATCCTTAACAAATAAGTACTTTGGCCATTAAAATCCTACCACGTGTAATTTCGATCATCATAGTCGTCGACCACTCGAGTATTTGGTAGTAAAAAATTCTTAAGAAATTCATTGGAGAATTTTAAAATATAAAAAAATAACTTTTTATATATTGTTAAGTGAGCCTAAGTCAACATAAATTTCAAAATATTATCAAGTATGCTAAATAGGCCCACTTTATAGCCCAAACTTGTAGAGTTCATTGTTGGATAAAAGTTCGAAACATGGGCTATATATTGGATTCCAAATTGTCTCCCACGGTTAGCATTTGGGAAATTATAAAAAATCAGTTGTTTAAAGATAGTTTTTTAAAAATCAGGTCCAAAGTTTGT